GTTTCTGCTGGTGTACCGCCCACCCCGCGACCCAGTAGATTCCCTGACTGAGCTAGCAGAGGTGGTCTCCAATTCGGCCTTGGTCTCCCAGCGCCTGGTTGTGCTGGGAGACTTTAACATTCATGCTGAGACCTCCTTGACTGGTGCAGCTCAAGATTTCATGGCCGCCATGACGACCATGGGGCTATCACAAATTATATCTGGCCCTACCCATCAGGCTGGACACACACTCGACCTAGTTTTTGTGGCGGACAGTGGAATGATCAGAGTGGAAGAACAAAACATCCTTCCTGTGTCATGGTCTGATCACTATCTGATCAGTTTTAGACTTTCTGCGACCCTTAACCTCCGCAGGGGTGGAGGACAAATTAAGATGGTCCGCCCCAGGAGACTGATGGATCCGGATGGTTTCCTGAGGAATCTTGGGGTTCTTTCTGCCATGGAGCCTGGCGATCCTGTCGACGTCTTGGTCGATCTCTACAATAGGGAAATGACCAGGGCGATAGATACGGTCGCTCCCGAACGCCCCGTCACGTTGCGTCATGACAAGCCGTCTCCCTGGTTCTCCGGGGAGCTGGCTGTGATGAAGCATGCGAGGAGGGGGCTAGAGCGCACTTGGAGGAGATCTTGGGACGTGTCTGATCGAGCACGGGCTACAGCCTCTCTTAGGGTGTATACTGTGGCTATACGGGTAGCCAAGGAGTCCTATACGACTACCCGTATAGCGTCTGCAGCAAATAGATCTTCGGAGTTGTTCCGGGTCGTTGGGGAGCTCCTTCAGCCACCTGTGGTGGAGGAGGTTTTTGACGACCCGGAAACTCGGTGTAGCGATTTCGCACACCATTTTGCAGGCAAAGTCGCTCAGATACGCCTTGAGCTCGACTCCAATTTCACCGCAGTGCCAGAGGAGGTGATTGAGGCATCTGCTTGTCCAACTTTGTGGGATTCTTTTAGGCTTGTTCCTCCTGAGACTATGGAGGAGGTCCTTGGGGCTGTGAGGGCAACTACTTCGGCTCTGGACCCTTGCCCATCCTGGCTAATTAAATCGGCCAGGGAGGGTTTGGTTGATTGGTTTGGGTTGATCATCAATGCATCATTGGAG